ATCCCCACGTGTCATGGGAGGGATCCAGTGGGAGGTAATTGAATCATGGAAGTGGTTACCCTCATGCTGTTCTCGTGATAGTGAGTTCTCACGAGATCTGATGGTTTTACAAGGGGCTTTTCCCCCTTTTCCTCGGTACTTCTCCTTGTTGCTGCCATATGAAGAAGGACATGTTTGCTTCCCCTTCTGCCATGATTGTAAGTTTCCTGAGGCCTCCCAGCCACGTGAAACTGTGAGGTCAATTAAACCTCTTTCCTTTATAAATTACCCAGGCTTGGGTATGTCTTTATTAGCAGCATAAAAACAGACTAATACACATGTCAAGCACTTGGAATAGGACAAAGTGCAATGTGAATACTCAATAAATTTAGTGACTATGATTATGGATTGATTCTGTTTAGATGTCACTGCTCTTGAAGGCCTACCCTAGCACCCCAACATGACCAGGTTTTGCGCCCTCCCACATGTTTCCCAGCTCCCAAGCCTCCTCCATCCTTGCACTTGCCCACTGTTTTGTACTGTCGACCTCTCTCAGCCCGACTGCATGAACTCCCTGAAGACATTAATTTCTGTCTTGTTTTCTCTCTGTATCCTCAGCATCAAGTTCAGGGCCACATGGCAGGTGCCCAGAAAACTTGTCAAATGCATGAAAAAAATGAATATTTCTGGTGACGGCAGGCTCCCTATTTTACAGGATACTGCCTCAGGGCCTTTGCACGTGCTATCCTCGCAGCTTGCAATGCATTTTCCCAGCTGTCTGCATGGCCAGCTCCCTTAAGCCATTCAGTTCTCCTCAGTGTCACCTCTTCTCTGAAGCCTTCCAGACCACCCTGACTAAAATGGGCTCCTTTCCCCAGCCCTCCATATCTTCCTGCTCTCCTTTATGTGTTTTTCTTGGCACATGACACCACTCAACTGCGTTGTCTGTATTTGTGTGTTTCCTCTCAGTCTCCCTGCTAGACTGGAAGCCTTATAGGGCAGCACCTGCATCTGTTTTGCTCACAGCTGCATCCCAAGTGCTTAGAATATTTTAGGTACATGACAATGTCTATTGAATGAATACACAAAGGAAGAAGATAGCCCATCTGGTTTTTTTTAAATATAAGAAAGAAAGTCTAGCTATAGGTACTTCAGTCCTTTCCTTTCACAGGAGAGATGCTTGATATTTCAAGGTTCACTCTCAAAAAACTGCAAAGGAGATACCACCCCCCTTCTTCTACCCACAGAGGGAGAAACACAAGCCAAGCTAATCGCAGCCTCTAGGGCCAGAAGCCAATTCCCTCTCACTCCACGTCAGCTCTCCAGCTTCTAGGAAAATCTTCTCCATCTCTGAGGGCTGGGGCGTTCCTAGGGCTGCCACTGGCCACTGTCACATCTCAGTTCAGCAGCTGGGAGCAGCGAGGGAGCCCCGTGGATGGGCAGGCTGTCCCTGGAAACTTGCTGTCAGCAGTCCTGTGAGCTGCCGAGGAACATCGGGGTTCTCTCCAAATGCCTCAGAAACCTCCCTGTTGGGTTACATTCTGTCTTGGGGGACCCTGGGATTACCACAGTTCTTTGCAGCAGCCAGCAGCTGATTGGGAGGTAGCAAGATTCAGCACTTCTGAGTTGGAAAAAGCGGCGCCGGGTATTATTTTGGGAACAGTCAGTCATGAGAACCTCCAAGAGCTGATCAGGGAGGCTATTAAAAGCAAGACAATGTATTTTGAAACGAACCAGGCCGGGGAGACACCTCACTCCCTGCCACAACCATGGAACTGGGAGTTCTTTCCGGATGAGGTGAACCTTTCCATCGCTAGGAGATGGGGAAGGCCTCCCCAGCTGCCAGCCACCGCCCCGTTCCTTCTCCTCTGCCAACCCCAGCTGAGTACCTCACCCACCTCCTCGGCCACGTGACGGAGTGAGGGTTCTCCCCAGCGGGCTGAGCAGGTGGCCAGACCATCATGGTTGTGCCTGTCGTTCATTCATTCACCAAACATAGACAGGACCTAGGAGTCTGGCTCTGGAGCTAGGCTGCCACTCTCCACATTCACACTCGGTGGCTTACTATTTGCTGACCTTGGGCCTCTGTGCCTCAGTTTCCCCTGCCCCTCCTGCAAAATGGGGATAATAGTGGCCTTCATCTTAGAGAGTTGTTGTGAGACCCAACAGACAGAGTTAGTCCCTGTGTCTGTCACAGATGCTAGATAGGATAATTGACTGAGTACCACCCGTTCCAGACACCATGCCAAGTCCCGAGTAAGACAGACATGCCCCTATTTTCCTAGTCTAGTGGGGAGATGAGTCATAACCAAGTAAACAAACAGATGAGACAATTTCATATTGTGTTATTCACTCAACAAACATTTTTGAGGTCCGACCGTATGCCAGGCATCATTCTAGGTGCTGAGGACACAGCAGGGATTAAAACAAAGTTCCTGCCTTCTTAGAGTTGATATTTTAGTTGGGAGGCAAAGGAGACATAGAATACACAAATGAATATGTAATTTGTTTGTGGTAAGTGATAAATGCTATAAAAATATGACAGGGCGTTGGGACTGAGATTTGTGGGGTGGGGTTGAACTTCAGGGCAGAGGAACCTATTTCAGAGGTGAGGGTCATGGAAGAATGCATTGATAGGATGGCATTTAAACTGAGGCTGAGAAGATGGAAGAAGCCAGCCATAGACATCTAGGGACAAAGGGTCCCAGGCCAAAGGGAAGGAAGCACAAAAGCCAGCAGGTGTCTACTCCTGGAGAGTACACCAGACAGGTGGGTAGGGCCGGACCTCAAAGGCCGTTGCATTCGTTTTCTGTTGCTTCCCCATGAACATGGTGGCTTAAACAAGCAAGTACTTATCATCTCAGAGTTTCTGTGGCTCAGGAACAAATTAGTTGGGTGGTTCAGGGTTTTTCCTGAGTCAAGCCATTGGCTGTGGCTGCAGTCATCTGAAGGGTTGACTGAGATGCTGGCTGTGGGCAGGAGGCCTCAGTTTCTTACTACATGGGCCTCTCCAAAGGGTTGCCTATGTGTCCTCACAACACGGCAGCCAGCTTCCCCCAAGGTGGGTGATCCAAGACAGCAGTGCAGAAGTCATACACTTTTTATGACCTAGACTTGGAAGTCACACATCTCATTTCTGCAGTAGCCTTGTGTTGCCCATTTAGGAGGGGGTGGCCCAGGAGCAGGAACACCAAGGTGGGTGCCACTAGGATCTTCTAGAGGCTGGCTACATCAGCCTTGGTGAGGAATTGAATTTTATTCTAAGAGGGATGGGGCACTTCTGAAATGGTATATGTGGTTGAGCTGGGTGATAAAGCATGACAGGTATTTGTAGTGGCAAGATGATAGTAACTGTAGCTACGGTTATTGAGCACCTACTGTGTACTGGGCACTGTGCTTAGTGCTTCATTAGATACGTTGGCCTCTCAGATGCTCATGTCTCCCTGTATTAGTCCATTTTCTTGCTGCTAATAAAGACATACCCAAGACTGGGCAGTGTACAAAAGAAAGAGGTTTAATTGGACTTACAGTTCCATATGGCTGGGGAAGCCTCATAATCATGGTGGAAGGCAAGGAGGAGCAAGTCACGTCTTACATGGATGGCAGTGGGCAAAGAGAGAGATTGGGCAGGAAAACTCCTCCTTATAATACTGTCAGATCTCATGACATTTATTCATTATCATGAGAACAGCACGGGAAAGACCTGCCCCGTTGGTTCAATTATCTCCCACCAGGTCTCTCCCACAACACGTAGGAAATCAAGATGAGACTTGGGTGGGGACACAGCCAAACCATATCACTCTGTAAGAAGTAGATGTAGCTCCATTTCATAGATGAGGAAGCTGAGACTTCTCCCTAAGAAATGTTATTCAAGGCGAGACTGGGAGGCCACTAGAATTACCCAAGCACAGAAAGGAGCTTGAGGGTGGGAGGAGGGAGAGAACAGCCTGGTAGAAAGCCTGGAAGTGAGGAAGAACAGGGAGAATTCGTGGCAGGTGGGGTGCTGAGTGTTTCAGTAGGCAGGGGTGTGGAGTTGAAGGGTGTAGGAGGTGAATGGTGGTGAGACTGGAGAAGGTGGGTTAGATTTTATAGGTCATTGGTCACATAAGGGATTTTGAACTTTACCCACAAGGTAATTGTGATTCAGTGGAGGATGACATGGTCACATGTCCCCTTTAGATTCTCAAGCTGAGAAAATATCACATTGGTTGTGCAGGAACGAATAGATCTCAGGGAAGGAACAGGAGAGAAGCGGAGGCGAAGAGGCCGAAGAGTCACCAGGAGAGAGGTTGATGGGGGTCCTGGCAATGCTGGTATTGTGGAGAGGAAGAGAAGTGACCTACCTAGAATAACAATGGACATTTATAGAGCAGTTGCTATGTGGTAGGCATTAACTCATTAAACCCTCCCAACAATCTTAGGATGATCATTTTATAGAGGAGGCAACTGCAGCACAGAGAGGTTGTGCAACTTTCCCAAGGTTGCACAGCCAGTAAGTGGCAGAGATTGGAACCTCAGCCACTTGCCTCTCAAGTGTTTTCTTAATTGCTCTGAGAAACTGGCCTCTCAAGTTGTCTAACCCAGGGCTGCCCAAGAGAACTTTCCACGGTGATGGAAATGTTCTGTTCTGTGTTGTCCAATTTGGTAGCCACCAGCCACGTGTGCTTTTGAGCACTTGACATACGGCTTGTGCAACTGAAGAACTGACACATTTTATTTAATTGTTAATTATTTAACATTTCATTTTATTTTTATTTTTAAATTTTTTGAGACAGAGTCTCACTCTGTCACTCAGGTTGGAGTGCAGTGACGCAATCTCGGCTCACTGCAACCTCCGCCTCCCAGGTTCAAGTGATTCTCCTGCCTCAGTCATCCGAGTAGCTGGGATTACAGGTGCCCACCACTATGCCCTGCTAATTGTTGTATTTTTGGTAGTGACGGGGTTTCACCGTGTTGGCCAGTCTGGTCTCGAACTCCTGAACTCAGTTGATCCTCCTGGCTCAGCCTCCCAAAGTGCTGGGATTACAGGTGTGAGTCATCACATCCTGCAATTATTTAAAATTTTAATGGCCACGAGTGAATTTGAGAGATTTTTCTGAGGGAAGATGTTCAGAACTGGCAGATCTATCTGTAAGATGTGGCAATGAAAGGGGAGGACGTTCAGGAATGGCAACCACCAGGTTCCCGGCTGAGGCAGCTGGGAAGGTGGAGACCCCTGGTCAGAGCTCACCAGGCTGCACTGAGCACCCTCCGTGAATACCTCCAGCATTTCCAGCCCATGTTCCTGTTGCTGCTGTTGATCACTCCTGCTCGTTCGGCCTTGTGGTGCCCTTGTCAACCAAGTAGAAGGCAAGGACTATGACTTCTAATTGTGTCCTCACCCCATCCCCACCACTTAGCCTGAGCCATGCCCATGGAATAAGCCTGGCAAAGAGATATTTGATAGGGAGCTTCTCAGAGCAATTGAGAAAACACCCGAGAGCCAGGTGGCTGGGGTTCCAATCCCACCTCTGCCACTTACTGGCTGTGCAACCTTAGGAAAGCTGCACAACCTCTCTGTGCTGCAGTTTTCTCCTCTGGAAAATGATCATCATAAAGTTGTCGGCAGGATTAAACAAGTTAATGCCTACCACATAGCAATTGCTCTATAAATGTTCATTGTTATTCTAGGTAGGTCAATAAACCTTTCAGACACCTGCGTTGGTCCTACCTTCGATGTTTGAGAGATGTAGAAATCTAGAACAATTCTCAACTGCCATCTACATTTCAGCCAGGAAGGGGTTGACAGTCAAGGGGACCGATTGGCACAGAGATGACACTTGAGCGATGCAGAGAAGGGCCCTCACCTAAGCTGCCCTAGTCCTTTCAAATAACCCTGGTGTTGAATCAGTTGTTTGGGACAGCATCACTTAAGTGGTGTCTCAGCAGAAATACCTGTGTTTCTGATTTATGAGGCTGTCGGAGGGAAGAGAATCTAATAAAAGGTTTCCCCGGTGATTCAAGGTCTCCCCCAACCCAGATGTCTCTGCAGCCTCCCTGGACCATTCCCCCTACGGCCACCTGGACGCCTTCTATTTGCTTTGATTCGGTTTCTCTTTTGCTTTTTCCTTACTTGCTGGTGCATTCCCACCCCAGCTGAGAGCCTCTATTTTGGGGAGTTTTCGTGGATAATTTAGTGGGCGGAAGCTCCCCACCCACCCCCCTTGGAGGATCCCTTAAAAAAGGGAGAGTGCTCGAGAGAAGTGAAAAACAGTGGGTGGTTCAGTTCAAAAGGACAAAATATTTCTTGCCCTGGCACTGGGAGAGGAAAGAAATTGTCTGAGGAACCAAAGAACGGCTAAACTAAGAAGCCGAAAAGCTGCAGCCCAGAAGGGCAAATTAGGTGACTCAGCTGCAACTGCCCCGGCTCCAGCCCTTGTAGTATAAATGTGCTTTAAAAGGGAAAAACGCTTAACCGTGACAAAGAGTGGGCTCCATAAAAATGTGGCTAATGCTGACTCTGTTGAGTTCCAAAAGACATCCCCCGCTCAGCAGCTCTGCGCACCTGTGGAGTTGGGGAATCGCCTCAGAGGCCTGAGTTGGGTGGGACTGAGTCTAAATTTATCCCTGATAATGAGTCTGCCAGAGGAGGGCCCAGCAAGCTTGTTTCCTTTCTCGCTTCTGGCCTCTAAAACCTCGGCACCAAGGGAGGGTTCTGGGAGGCAGGGGATACGGTGCCAAGAACACAGGCTTTGTTGCCAAACAGAGCTGGGTTCAACTCTGGGCCGTCCATTTACTGGCTGTGTGCACATCAACTCGTAGAGCCTCAGTTTGCTCGTCTGTAAATGGGGCTTACAGCATCCAGCTCAACGGAAGGGTGAAAGGAAACAGACCTTGCCGAGCTTGTCTGGTGCTCTGGACATGGCAGTTGTAGGGAGGCCTGGAGAGGAAGGGTATGAATGCCGAGTCCAATAATCCTATTCCTGGCTTAATCACTACTCATTCCTTGACTATGGGAAGGTTTTCTTTTTAAAAAAATACTTTTAGGATTTGTTATATACTTTAGTGTTCTTAGCACTTCAGTGAAAGAAAGTCATTGAATCCTTACGGCAAGTGTTTAGGAGGGTACTCCTAGTGCCCCATTTTACAGACTGGGGTAAGTGATGCCACATGGCAAAGCCAAGCATCTGACTATAGAGCTTGAGTTTTAAATGGCCTCTCAGGTTGTCTAACCCACTACTGCCCAAGAGGACATTCTACGATGATGGAAATGTTCTGTTCTGTGCTGTCCAATTTGGTAGCCACCAGCCACATGTGGGCTTTTGAGCATTTGACATATGGCTTGTGCAACTGAAGAACTGACACCTACATTTTATTTGTTAATTATTTAACATTTTAATAGCCACGTGTGGCTAGTGGCTGCCATATTGGATGGCACAGGGCTAACCCCTTTCATCTTTAGTCTGTTACTTTGCAGTGGGATTGTAAGTGGGAATTTATAGATGACTCTAGCTCAGGGCCCGGCATCTAGTAGGTACTGAGTGAGGGGTTGCTGTTCGTAGTGTTACTAAGTGTAGTAACTGTCTGCAGAAGATAATGGTTAGCAGGCTTCCTTGGTGTCTGGATAGTGGCAAAAGGAAGTTGAGTTTCATTCATGCCTGCGATGACCAACCTGTCCCAAGTTGCTTGGAACCTTCTCAGCTTTAAAACTGGAAGTCTTACATTCTAGGAGCCCCCTCAATCCCAGGCACACCAGGACGCTTGGTCTCCCTGTTCTTGCTTCAGATGGTTGGAGAAAGAGGCCTCAGGGAATGAGTCTTCCTCAATAGGCTCCACTGAAAAGAATCCTCTCTACGCCCTTAAAGGCTGCGCCCCAGAATTTGCCAAGTAAATCAACAGGCAAGCCACCTGCCTTCTATGTGCCTCAGTTTCCCTTTCGGAAAGTGGGGGAGAGGATCCCCTCCTTGCAGGGTGGTTGCAAGAAATTTGGTGGCGCCATGACTTTTGAGTTACTCGAGAGTCAATGAGACTTCCTTACCTTGAATTCCTTGGCACACAGTAGGTGGACAGATAATGGCTGCTCTCTGGGGGAACAGCATTACTTAGACTGTCCTGCGGGAGGCCACCCTGGTTGAGGCAGGCTTGAAGAGAGTCCCCTGGGCGGGGCTGGGGGTGGGGCTTTCTCAGGCCCAGTTCCAGCTGGTCTCTATGGGCCAGCATCTGTCTCCAGCAGGAGTAGTTATGTCTGCGAGCTGCCCAGTGAGGCTATTGTGGGCCAGTGCTGGAAAACAGAGTGGTCCCACGGATAGAGCCAGCTGCTTCTCAATGCCTCTTTAAGTTCAAGTCTCTCTGTGAGAGCATGCAGGGGGGGTGTGTGTATGTGATGAGTCACCAGCCTTGGTTGCTATCCACAATTTTATCAGAGCTCACAACAGTATCTGAAGTCCATTTTCAAAGCCAGCTTTATCTTTGGGCTCAGAATTTCCCACCCTGCAGGCAGGTGAAGACGCAGACCTAGTCCAAGTCCAGAAAAGGCATCTTGACCGCTGCGCCTCTCCCTCTCCCCCTCCCCACGGACCTTCTGGGGGTCTCGTGGCCTATTACTGTGAACCATGCGTGGCATCGCACGGACTTTCTTCTGGACACTGTGCAAAGTTCATGATATCCTTTCTCTTTATTTTCCTGTTTATTCAGAGCATGTGTAAACACATGGGTTGCTTGGTTTCAGCTTCTCTTTGGCCATTTCATTATTTCTGGAGCCTCTGAGCATCACTGGAAACCTTGGATTTTCTAAATGAATCTAAAAATAAACTCTTTGAAAAAAAATTCTCGAAGTTGGAGAGTTGACACGAGGCACCGTTATTTATTTCTTTTCCTTCCTCCTCCTTCTCCTCTTCCTCCTCCCCACCATCCCTGAACACACAAAAATCTGGGCAGCCAGAGGCCGTGAGGGACTGGGAAGGGCCCCTGGGCGAACGTCCAGGAGCTTGGACAACCTGGGGTGTTGGTTTGAACCCTGGGCAGCTTTCTCCAAGAGGCGCCCGCTTGGCAAATGGGGGGCTTGGGAGTCTCGGGCTTGATTTATGAAAAGCTGCCATGGGCCAGGGAAGGCGGTGGCTGGGGCACTCCTTGCAAACAGCCTCCTGGAGCTCCTGCAGGGCTGACTTGGACACTCGCACACCCCCACCCCCTTCTTCTCGCCGTCGCCCGCTTCGCTCCCTCTCCCAGACTTTTCTCCCGAACAATCAGGGACTTGTGCTGGCGGCCGAAGGAGCCACGGAGCTGGCTGGCCGCGGAGGAGGCGACGTCATGGATTCCTGAGTGTGAAGTTTGCAGGAAAGCCCTTAGTTTTGGAGATGGACGGGATCCAGTGGTTTCCATGGCGCTGGATAAACAGGAGGAAACAGTGAGGGAATCCCGTTATTTTACTGCATTGAAAGCCTATAAACACGGAGCGCGGGGAAGGAAGTCGCGTTGCCTCTGGAGTAAGCCGGATCGCGGAGCCGCGCCGACTCCGCTGAGCCGGGAGCCGGGAGGCGCGCAGCTCCGGGGTCGCTCCGAGGCTCCTCGACAAGGGCTGCCCCGCGGGCAAGCGGTAGAGAAGACGGCGCCCCCTCGGCTGCTGGTCGATACAAACAGACCCCCCTTTCCAAACACGCGCCAAGTCCCCGTCCCCTCCAGATGCAGAGAGAGGCTGCGTTCAGACTGGGGCACTGCCATCCCCTCCGCATCATGGGGTCTGTGGACCAAGGTAACTGACTCTCGATCCCTTCCAGCCTTTTCCGCTCGCTCCTCCCGGTCCTTTCCTGCTGCTCCCGTCCCGGGCAGCACTTTCAGCTCCGGGCAGAGGTCGGCGCGGGAGGCCTGGGGACCCCGCTCGCCCTGGGCGCACAGGTAGCGTGGCCCGCGGAGGGGCGCCCGCGCCCCGGCCAGGGAAGGGACACTTGGGAAGGCGGCTTTGGATAACTTTGCGCGGGGGCAGGGAAGTGTCCCGGGCCGGGATTCCCTAGGCCAGTCTGTCGGGAGGATTTTCCGCTCCACGGGACACCGGGAGGGATTCTCGCTACTAACCGCTGGCTGTTTAACCGTTTCAGCACTCGGCTTTTGACAGCAAATGCCATAACGCTGCAGTATTATTATTATTATTACTTTTTTTTTCTTTTAAGAGAACAGGCTTGGCATTTTACTATACAGCAAGTATAGTAAGGAAGACTTTGCTTTCTAACAGTGACAGCAGCAGTGGATGCTCTGGGACATTTAAACCATTTTCTTCCCCTTTTTTGATGTGCCTGCTGGATAGAGTCCTCCAGCTACTCCTTTAAAGTGCAATGTACCATCAGTTTGTTTGGGGATCTGATTACACTGTACTTTCCCTGTTTCTGCTTCTTTCCCCCTTCTCTTGGATTTAGTCCTGGTATCACACCACTTGGATCTTGTGGGAGAGGGTTGACTATAAGGAGCATAAGATATGAAAGTGTCCCATCTGGTCGGGATTGCGGAGGGACGTTGGCTCCACAATAATGAATCGGTCTTTAAAAGTGGAAATGGGCAAAGTGTTGTGTTTTTCAGAGGGGAGCACTGCGTTGGGGGCTGCGCGGCCTGGCTGCCAAGTGGGAAGGGCTTTGAAAGTTAAGTGAAATAAATTCGCGGAGGAGGAGTTAGCCTCGTGTCATAAAATCAGAGTTGAATGTAGGTTTTGTGCTTTGCGTGGCTGATTAAAGTTCGGGGGGTGGGGGAGAAGAAATGACAATTTCAGTAAATAAACCTGAGAGGCTTTTTCTTTCTTTCTTTCTTTCTTTTTAAACTAGATTGAAGCCAAATGCCTTGGGTTAGGTAAACGGTGTGCTTTGCCACAGCAGACCTCAATGACACATATTTTTAGCTGAGCTGCGCTTTTGAAAGCAAGACCCGGCCAGGACTTTGAACGTTTGAGCGGGTACCGGTTTATCCTGTCCTCTGCTAGTGGTCAAGCCTATGACATAATGGCAAAAAAAATTTTACTGATATCGCATCATCTGAAAAGCAATGCTCTCAGACAGATGACAGATATATTAAGGGCGGGAAAGGGTTTTTACTGTCACAAATACTGAAACCGGGTGTTTGATGTTCTGATGATGGGGGTGGAGGTCAGCCTAATGCCAAATTTAGCTCTATTTGGAAAGAGAGAGAGAGAAAGAACTTGGATGAGAAACTGGGCTTCTGTTTTACTGTGTGATCTAACACAAGCCTCGAATTTTATGGAGGCTGCTAACTCTGTGCCCCAGGTGTGTGAACTAGTTCTGCGAAGGTTTCAAAGTGTGTGTATTTTGTGTGTGCATGTTCAATAGCTATCCTCCCCAGCCCATGTTCATGCGTGCACGGATTGTGGGTGTGTGCACGCCGGTGTGTGCACGCCAGTGTGTGTGTGTGTGTACATGTGGGAGACAAGGGCACCAGATTGTTCCAGGCAAACCACACTTGGTCTGCCAAGGCAATGGGCACAAAGAATGCAATTCCAGGCATCAGAGACAGTTGGCTTGACACAGGCTGATCCAAATGCTCCCACATTGCCCTGCACAGTGGTCTCTTGAGGGAGAGCCCAATCCCCCCTTAGACTCAGACACAGACAACAGTGGGCATGCAGATGGGTGGGGTCATTAAATGGAGAAGAGAAATATTTGCATTTAAAAAAATTCCAAACTTTCTGCACAGAAAGCAGCATTGGTCCTGCAAAAAACTGAAGATCTGAAAGAGGTGTGCTCTGTTTTATCTGAAGTGAGATGATGGAAACTATTTCAGGAATAAACAAACCCAGGGTGAGCTTTGTTCTCTCCCAAACCCAGACTCCCTGCCTTCTGCTTGCATTAGAATTTCTGCTTGGCCACATCACAACTGTGTGATCTTGGGCAAGTGACTTAACTTCTCTGTGCCACACTTTTCTCATCTGTAAAACAGAGCCAATAATTATGCCTCTCTTCCAGGGTTGGTATGAGACTCAATGAGGTAAAACAGATAAGGCACGAAAATGGTGTCTTGCTCATAGTCAATGCTCCATAAACATTAGCTGCAAATCCTGTCATATTAAAAACGCAAAACAATAACTGATGCTGTGGAGACACTGGATTTGACAGTAAACATTCTTTGAAGAGATGCAGTACTTTCTACTTTCCAAAGTACTTTTAAACTTACTGGAACTTTACAATGACACAGATAGGGTTAAGATCTTGGCTTGTGAAGCCTCAATTTTCTCATTTGCAAAAAAGGAATAATGATAGTATCAACTTCATCGGATTGTCGAGAGCATTGTATGAAATGATGCATGTAAAACACTCAGCTCTGTGCTTAGCATGCAGTACACACACACCGAATGGTGTTGTCTGACAGTTAAGGATGGTGAGACCCAGCTTTGCCCAAGGTCACATAGCAGATAAGGAGCACAGTGCCTGGCACACAGTGAGTGCTCAATTCCTGCCCCAGATAGTGACAGCAAACATAAAGTGAGCATTGACTGGAGTAGGACAAGGGGCTGAGTGCTCTTCAAGCATTAAGCCTTTTAATTGTTATAGCACTGTAGATGATAAATGGTATCCTTCCTGGAGGAGGGGTGGGGCACAGAGATGTGTGGCAATGGGCCAAGTGTTACCCAAGAAGAAAGTGGTAGGGCCCTAATTTGAACCCAGGCTCTTGACCTGCTCTGCTGTCTCTGAAACTCACTAACATCATAATTTTTTTTACCATTTGACAGATGAGGTGACCGAGGTGGGACCAGATCCTGGTTCTGGGATCTTTCCCCAATACCACGTTGTTCCCTGACAGATGCTGGAAGGGAAAGAGACATATGGGGGGATGTGGAGGGTATAAGTCTTATTGCTAGAGATGGGGAAACTGAGGCAGCAGCTGATTTGTGCGTTAGTGAGGGCTCCTTGGTTGATTTTCCTCAGGGAAATAAAAGCATGAGACTCCCACTCTTAGTAGAAGAAAGTCCCCAGCCAGCCAGTGTGGCAGCTCCAAAGCCCACGCGGCTTTCTGTACTGAGAGCCCCTCCCAGGCACCCCTCCTCCTGGCTAGTCTTTCCCTTGCTACCCATATGGCCCTTCATCCAGGAAGCCCCTCCAGCTTGCAAGCCTCTCTTCTCAGCCTCCAGAGAGAATCACAAGTTCACCAGACACTCCCCTGACTAGCTTTATTAAGAACTTTCTTTGGTTTGATTACAAGCCCCCTGAGGACAGGGATCGGGTCCCCTATTTCTGTGAGTCTCCACTGGTACCCAGGTGACATTGCTGCTATCCAAGAGGTTAACAGCTTGGGTCTGAATCAGAGGTTTGAATCTTGGCCACTTGTGTGTGTTACTTCAGTTGTGCCTCAGTTTCCCCATGTTATGAGTGATATTATTATTACCCAGAATAATATTTAATAAATGTAATAACCGGGTATAAACCAATCAGAACCATAGGAGCAGGGTCCCTAGACACTTCTCTGCTGGGCCAGGTTTTAACTATTTATTTGCCGAATTTTGGGGAGAGTCCCAGGCAGTAGAAGTCTTTGGAGGGTGGTAGGAAGCAGGGCAAACAGCAAATAATCTATGGAAGTTCTCAGTCCTTTAATAAACATTATAATCCTAAGGTACCCATTCAAAAAATAATTGCTGTCATTACTATTGTATAATTTATTATTTCAACATTTACCTCAGCCCCCCCCAAAAAACCCCAATGTCTAAATCCAATTACTAAATACTTTCTCACGGTTTTCTCGTTGGATAGCTCACACTTAATATGTAAATGACTGATTATTTAGACTTGCTGACTGGAAGAAGCCAGTCAAGTTTCTATTTTTTTTATTTTTGAGATAGGGTCTCACTCTGTTGCCCAGGATGGAGTGCAGTGGTGCGATCACGGCTCACTGTATCCTTGACCTCCCAGGCTCAAGCAATCTTCCCACCTCAGCCTACTGGGTAGCTGGGACTGGAGGTGTGCCCCGCCGTACTTGGCTAACTTTTTAAATTGTTTGTAGAGATGGGATCTTGCTATGATTCCCAGGCTGGTCTTGAATTCCTGGGCTCAAGTAATACTCCCACCTTGGCCTCCCAAAGTGCTGAGTTTACAGGCATGAGCCACCGTGGCCAGCCAGGTTTCTGTTTTTGTTCCTTTGCTAAAACAGGAATTTGAGAATCTCTGACTGCCCAGCCTGGATGGGAGGCCTCCTCTGGGCTCTGCTGGCCTCTGTCCTGTGCTGCCTGCATCCTGGTACTAATCACACTGATGGTAATTGTCTATTTGTCCGTGTCCTCCAACAGATTTGAATTCCAGCAACCAGAAACCACACCTGCCTTGGTCACCACGGTACCCTCAGTGCTAGGAGAATGCCTAGCACTTAGTAGGTGCTCAGTAATTCTTTTGGTTAAATGGATGGATGAATGAATAAGTTACGAATGAGTGCAGCACAGGAGAAGTTCTGTGGCTTGTTAAGACCACAGCATTCGGACAAGCTGCAGGCCCGCACTCTCATTGTGTCTCGCTGTCTTCTGCTTCCTTTTAACAATGATAGCGACCTTTTGACTACCACATTTTCCCAGCTGGAGCCGGTGACCTCAGTAGGATTTCTCCTGGGCCATCCAACAGGTACTCACATTCCTCTTGTTGTCTGGAATAAATAAGCCCCCAATAACAGCAACAAGCCACAAACGACAATGACAATGACAGCAGCCACCACTCACTGAGTGTAAACCGTGTGTCAGGCACCATGCCAAGGGCTTTCATGTGCCACCTCAAGCAT